CATTCTTCTTTTCATGAAGAAGAAAAGAAGAATGAGAAGAATGAAAAGAAGAATGAAAAGAAGAAGAAGAATGAAAAGAAGAATGAGAAGAAGAATGAAAAGAAGAATGAAAAGAAGAATGAGAAGAATGAAAAGAAGAATGAAAAGAAGAAGTATTCCAGTACAGCAAAAAGTGTATCTGCAGAGAGCTCCGCTGCGGTTGAAACATTGTATCTGTTTCCGAATAAAAACATCTGTATCCTAAATGGAAACAAATAGATACAATGTTTCAACCGCTGTACATGTGAAGGAACTGTCAGAGAACTGTCAGAAATAGCGGAGCTCTCTGCAGGGACACTTTTGCTTGCTGATCGGGAAAAATCCGATTCGCGCACCCGAAGTATGCAAATATTCGGATTCGACGCGAATCAAATTTTTCCTGAAATTCGAAACAAATTCCACTTCGCCTGGTTCGATTCGCTCATCTCTAATACCAACAATGGTAAATACTGTTGATACATCACAGTAAAAATGCAACAGGGTGAACCGACAGTCTTACAAAACATCAGAGTATCAAACTGTTTGATACTCTGATGTTTTGTAAGACTGTCGGTTCACCCTGTTGCATTTTTACTGTGATGTATCAACAGTATTTACCATTGTTGGTATGTTATGCTATGTTTTGATGACTAGTTCTTGATTGTACAGCTAAGAAACCTAGATTCCATTGTGTGGCACACTTGGATATGGTTGATTATCTTGTTTTTTTTGTAACTGTTTTTTATCTGAAAACTTGCAATAAACATATTGAATGAGAAAAAACCTTGGACTCTAAGGTCTATGGTCTAACACTCTTGTTAGACCTTTAACATGTGGATTACTACATGTGAAACTCTGGGTCTCTTGGTTAAGGTATATCTTGTTTTTGTTTAAAATGGCCTAACTGAAGCCAACATGATACTTTTGAATCTGACTTTTTGAAACCATAAACTACTGATAAGTCTAATCCAGTGTCTCTTTTATACATGTTCCAGCAATAAAAACCTGAAAGGAGTTCTAAGCCATCCTCACTCTATGCAAAATTGTTTACATGTACTTTATTAACTTTCCCGCTGCCCTATAGCAGATATATTATTACAGGGTGGCAGGGGTGTGTATATATACGTGATTTTGCATTTCCGGGTAGGGGAAAATTACCGGGGTCCCGGCCGGTGATTACTCGCTGGCGCCCGGTGATTACTGAGCATCTCCGACTTGGAGGAGGACTATTTTGTTTACTAACAGTTCTCCTCCCTGTTAGCTAGGGCACACTGCTTTGGATCCAAAGCAGTGTGCTTACAGTGAAGCACACTGACACAGCCCCCTAGTAAAACACTCCCTTCACACAGCTAACCCTTTGATCGCCCGTCATGTTAACATTTTCCTACCCAGTGCTATTAGTACAGTGTCAGTGCTTTTTTTAGCACTGATCACTATATTGATGTCACTGGGGATGTCAGTGACGCCAAGTCAGTTCCCTCCAGTATCAGAATGTCCACCAAAGTCCCACCATTAATCGCTGATCGCCGCCATTACTAGTAAAAAAAAAAACAAACAAAACAAATTCCAGTGTATATATATCGCCATTTGTAAACTCTATAACTTTCACGTAAACCAATTATTTTACACATATTGGGATTTTTTTAGCAAAGACATGTAGCAGAATACAATTTGCCTCAAATGTATGACAATTTGATTTTTACATTTTTTTTTACTGGACATGTTTATTAAAAAAAAAGTCAAATATTGTTTTTTCTTTTTCAAAATTGTCGGTCTTTTTTTTTTATAGCACAAAAAATTAAAAATGCACAGGTGACCAAATACCACCAAAAGAAAGCTCTATTTGTGGCAAAAAAAGAACGTAAATTTCATGACCGCACAATTGTCAGTTAAAGTAACGCAGCGCCGTAGCACAAAAAATGGCCTGGTCAGGAAGGGGGGTAAAACCTCAGTAGGGCAAGTGGTTAAGATGCCTTAACACTCTTCTTTCTCTTTTATTCCAACATGGAAAGAGAGCAGCAGCGACAGGTCTATAATACAGGAAACACCTACACAGAGGAAAAGTGCAGGATTTGTTTCATGCTGGATTACTGCACAATATGTAAGATATACACAAAGGGCAACAAATTCAAACAAGAAGGCACATAGATCATGCATGTAGACAAAATTTGTTTAGCCAGGATTAGAGCTTTAAGAGTTTCAGAACATTTGAGAGTAAATGCAAATGAGGCAATGACTGACATAAGTATTTTATATAAAAACGTTATATGTTGAAAAGCTAAAAATATTGTACACATTCTATTTCAGAGTACATTGCATGTTAATTGATACCATATGTGTACAATGAACACAATATTATCAATATAATCTGATATGTAGTTGAGACATCTCTTATACCTTTAAACTACAACCAAAATTTAGAGAATCCCTTCTTTGTATTTCTGTGTTGTTAGATCATGGTCAAATTCCTAATGTTATATTTAGTGCAAACCCATTTGGAATTGACAAAAATGTCCACAGAAATTAGCATAAAATAAAATAAATTATGTGATTACTCGACCTAAATTCAACATTCGCCTTAAAGCTGCTTTCACATCTTTATTTTTTAAGCTATAGATCAGTGGGTTAAGTAGAGGGATGGCAGCCGTATTAAACAAGGCATACAGCTTCTTTGATTCCAGTGTACCTGTTGCATTTGGTGCCAGGTATTGACCAACGAGAATCATATACAGAAGGACGACTACTGTGAGGTGAGAGGAACATGTGTAGAAGGCTTTACGTCTTCCAGTGTTTGAACGGATCTTCAGTATGGCTGCTATTATAAAGATGTAGGAAATGAGGGTCAGAAGAAATGGGATGATAGTGAAAAGAAATAAGCCTTCAAAGAAGAACAATATATCCAACAGGGAGGTGTCACTGCAAGTCATTTCCATCAGGGGGACAATGTCACAGCGAAAGTGATTGATTTCAATTGATAAGTAGCAAGAGAAACTAGACAATATCCCCTCAAGAGGAGCAATAAGTAGAAAACCCAACACCCAACAGAGAGAGGCCAAGAGTGCACAATTCCTATGGTTCATAAGCAAATGGTAACTCAAAGGATTACAGATGGCTACATAACGATCATAACTCATTGCTGTCAGTATAAATAGTTCATGTACTAATAAAGATCCAGACATGAAGATCTGTGTCATACAACCAAAAAAGGAAATTGTTTTATCTCCAGTAACAAAGCTTGTCAGGATCTTAGGTAATGTTGTGGCAGTGCAAGACATATCAACAATGGACAAGTTAGCTAAAAGGAAGTACATGGGGGTGTGAAGATGAGAGTCCAGGCAGATCAGTAGAAGAATGACCATGTTACCACCAAGAGTGAAGAAATAAACTAACAAAACTAAAATGAAAATTGTAATTTGTATTTCAAGAACATCAGAAATTCCTTTAATAATAAAATATCCAGTGATAGTTTTATTTAAAAACATCTGCATACCTGATTACTGGTATCTGAAAAGGGAAAATCATAAATATCTTACTTATTTTAGTTGATACTGAATTTTGTTAATATAATTTTAATCAAATTACTAATGTTAGAGATACATTTTTAAAGTTGAACCCCATCATTTTTTAAAAATTTAACTGCAAAATTAAAAATTGGACTGTGTGGAACCAGTATCCTTCTATCAAAGTTTAAATGGCATTAACAGTGACTGGTGTACATTTCCACTTACTGCTTCAAACAGAATGTCTTAATTTTCTCAAGCTATACCCTTACTGCCTTATCCAATAATGCAGGTGTCTCAGTTCAGCAAGGTGATTGACATAATTTCAGTGTTTTCTGCATCCAGTTAGTCTGCATTTAAGAGTGAGGGAACATATATACAGGTATCTTTATGTAATTAATTATAATTAGGTCCCCTAACTACTAAGAGAAACAGATGGGGTCAAGATAATGCATGCATTACTGTATTATCTTTTCCAAACTACAAGTGTAATGCAATGGTATTTTGTAGATTTGAAACATGGACAATGAACTGTTGATGCTCAGAGGTCATTGAAGCCTAGATGGCCAAGTAAAATTAATCAGTGTCAATTAACATTAGTTTTCCCACCAAAACATTTTTTTTACATTTTAAGAACATATGTGAATTTCATTCCACACACTGTTTTAAAGCGGTAATAAATGTGCTTTTTCACTTGTACCTACAGGTAAGCTTATAATAAGGCATACCTGTAGGTACAGGGCATACCTCCTAAACATGTGTTGTTTAAGAGATATTCATAGCAGCAACAGCTGGTGACTTAACTGGTGCATAGTACGATCTGCATAGAGGGCACACTGAGTATCCCCTTAATGTAGAGCACTGTGTTGCAATTGTAACTCCCATGTGCACACTGCAGCTGTCATTCCCCCTCCCTGGCCTCAAGTGAAGTGTGTGGAGCAGTTTCACTGACAGAGAGGGGAAAATCTGCTGTAAAGAAGCCACCCACCACTCAGGATACAGAAGACAATGCAGAATGGCATCAACCCTCTTGCTTGCAGGGAGGAGTAAAGACTTGGGGAGGTAGTCCCCAGAGGGAATGGGCTCAATGTTTTGGAGCTGTGTGGGACTACAAGTCCAGAGAGAGGAGGAAAAGGAAGCAGGATCCAGGGTTCAGAGCAGTTTCACATAGGATGTAAGAGATGAGTGGAGTGAGCTGCTGAGTTGGAAATGCTATCTGAATTGAATGTATACCATGGGATCTGCGAGAGACTGGACTAGCACACCTGCACAGAGATTACAATTTTTGGATAGTTCCAACAAACTGGAGAAAAGAGCATCACTGGTTCTATGAGAGATTATCATCACTATAGGGTCCTGTGTCACCAACAACACAATTTTTTCTGGCCACACACAACTTCCTTACCCACTTCTTACAGGAATATTGTCACTCTCTCTTGGGATATTATTTGGGAACTTTCACCCTGTACTATGAGATCCTACTAGTCCTGAGTTCGCCAACACAGAAACTCTGGGCCCCAATGATTAAACCTACACTGGCCAGTGGGTGGGGTTTGGAGAGACTGAAGGACCTTTCAGCTACTACTACTGGCCCTTTAGTTAGGACATCAGGTGCAAAGGCACTTGGTCCTCTGATTGTTTGTGATTTTGTACAAATGAACTTATCTGCTACTGTTCATTGCTGGTACCATTCTGCTATTGTTGCCTCAAAGGGTTTATTTCCTCAAATAAATCCCCCTTCTTCAGCTCTTCAACAACTCTAAAAGTGATCCACTCAGAGTATTAGCTTCAATAGTCTATGGTGCTCTGCATTCTCTGGCACAATCCAGCTTCTATACCTCCCTCTGCCTGGAATCTGAAAGGTGTTAAGTATTTTCTAGGCTAGTTCACTGCAGACTTGAGTTCTAATATATTATGACAGTTTGGTACAGCCTATATGAGTGTAAAACCTGGTCAGTCACCAGTTCCTCATTGAAATTTGTTTCCTTTTTTTATTTCTGCTTCAGTAGTAGGCAGGGGCGGACTGACCATTTGGAAACACGGGCACTGCCCGAGGGCCCGGGGTCAGTAGGGGGCCCCATGAGATGCCCCTGGTACCTTTCTCATAGGCTTTTTTGAGTTTGGGCAAGGACACAGGGGCCCCAAGATCCCCTATTGCCTGGGGGCCCCATGAGTTGTCAGTCCGCCCCTGGTAGTAGGTTTGTGAGATTCTGCCTTTGCCACTTCTAGTACCACAGGAAAACACAGGATTGCACCCAACACCACATGAGGAAGAAATTTGGGACCTTTGGCATAAATAGTGCTGTTTTAAGCAGTTTTAAGACCACCTAAAATTGTCATTTCAGCTTCCGTGTTCCTCTCATGCGCTGTCTGCATCATAAAATATCGCTTAACAGATATATCTCAAGGATACCCATACTTCCTTTGTGCATGGAGTCAGATACATTCCTTCACATATGGTTGAGTTGAACAAAAAAAACATGGTGCTTAATTTAAAGATTATGCATCTTCAAATGCCAGCTTTACCCCAATTACATTGATAAAAAAATAGACATCAATGTAGTGGTCAAGGAGTTCAAAGCCCTCAGCCTGCTCAAAAGCCCAGCAGAATGTCTTCCACATTCCAGCAGTCAGAAGGTTGAGCAGTATTGTGAATTTGCTGGTCAGATCCACAAACTATAACGGGCCTGTCTTTAGACCTGTTGATATATCCACTTGATCTATGGAAGATTTAACCTCCTTCATGACCAGGCCATTTTTGCTGTACGGCGCTGCAGTACTTTGACAATTGCACAGTCATGCAACTTTGTACACAAATGAAATGTATATTATTGTTTTCACACAAATATAGCTTTCTTTTGGTGGTATTTGAATACCACTGGGTTTTTATTTTTTTTCTACAAACTGGTATAGATACTGGATTTTTTTATATTAGTAATTGTGCCGACTAGTGACTTGTAGCAGGACTGTGATAGTACAGCGGGCATTCTGATACTGAGTGGGAACTAACTGCCACTGACATCTCCAGCGACACTAATACAGTGATCAGTGCTAATAAAAAGCACTGTCACTGTACTACTGACACTGGGCAGGAAGGGGTTAACATCTGGGGGGATCAAAGGGTTAACTGTGTGCCAGGGAGTGTGTTTACTGTGTAGTGTTTTACAAGGGGATGTGCTGGTTTTTATCTACCTGCTTTGCAACGGCTGCCCCATAGTAAGCCTATAGGTGACATCGTGTTACAGGCTCCACAGCCATCAGCTCCTCTACACTGAAGCAGGCCACTGGAAAGATCGTGACCAGACTGGATCAACCTCAGAATAGGTAAGTATAGACATCTTTCCACTACAGGGTGGTTAGAAGAGGCTTAGAATGGGGTGGGAGCAGGTTTGGGTATAGTAAGTATTTGACTGGAATTCTACTTTAACTCTTGCAGCCCCTCTGCAAGGGAAGTTTTTTTTTTTCTTTAGTTTTGATGGAATTAAGGCTTAATGCAGGCCATAGACGGGTCGAAAATCGGCAGATTTTTCGTCCAAAAAAAAAAAATCGGCCGATATTCACACCGTTAGTGGGTTAATTGGTCAGCCTTTTTGGGGGGATTTGGCACATTTTTTTTAATCGGTCATGTTGGAAAATTTGCAGCCGATTTTTCCTGGCAATGATGGGAAAATTTGCCGATCGTTTTACCGATAAAAAAATCTGCGCATGAGCTGTGACCTGGAAAAAGAGGAAGAGGTCCAGTCTGCTATTAGTTATATGAAAAGTCTTGCGGTTGCAACAATGTATCTATTTGTATCCGATTAAAAACATCTGTATCCGAAATGGATGCATTGTTGCAACCACAATACTTTTTCATGTCAAATATAAAAGCGGAGCTCTCTGCAAGGGACAGAAGTAATTAAATGCCGTCCATAGACGGGACGAAAATTGGCAGATTTTTTTAATGTTGGTGGTAACATCGGCCAATCGAACGACCAATTTTTTTTGATAAAAAATGGCCGGTTTTTGACCCGTCTATGGCCTGCATAAGACTACTTGACCTGTGTGTGAGATTGCTTCAGATCAGGTGCTTTTAAAAGGGAAGAAAGAAGAATCCCAACATCCTTAAAAAGAAACTATAATGGTTTGAAGACCATTGCAATTTCTAAGCTATTTGGTATACTTTTTTTACTCTAAATTTTTTTTCTAACAAATCTACATTTATTACATGATA